CCATGAAGTCCAGCTGCAGCAGCTGTGGTGATTCCCCCAGGTGACCTTCCATCCCCACTGGGAACCTGTGCTTCCCCCTCACTGAGCCCTGCATTTGGGGAAAGTTGTTCTGTTCACTGTGAAGATTGCAGTCACTCTAAGGGCTTCATGGTTCTCCCAGAGCAGGAAACTTTGGGATGTGCGAAGGCCCCAGGCCCACTCAGACATCATGGAAGAGCAGGTGGCTACATCACTTTACCAGCATACATGAAGACACGCTATGTGCAGACACTTTTCTAGGCACTGATCATGAACCAATGTCCACAGCAGATCCAATCACTGCCCTCTCAAGTTTCAGTGATATTTGGTGTCTACACAGTCACAATCAGAGCAGGTATTCCTCAAATTACAGTAGATGAAGCCCCTCCTTTCCTCCCTAGATGTGGATTCACAGCAGTGCAAAGGGAGTCCAGAGGAGGCACACATATTGGGCAACACGGCACTACATACCCTAAAGCCTGAGGAGAGGCAGGGAAGCACAGACGCCTACTGTCCCTCACTTCTCAGATAGTTATGGAGCAGCAGCCCTGTGCCTTTGAGTACAATCACACAGCAGAGACAACACTCTGTCCTCAGGGAGCTGACAGTGGGGACGGGCAGGGAGACACTGTGTGTGGCTGCCCTGAAGAAGGCAGAGGTGGTCACACCACTGAACAAAGACTCCTTCCCACTGAGCCTTCTGTCAGGCTCTCAGGGCTGCTTGGGCCAGGACTGCTCTACTGGGGGTGGGACAGGGTGGGGCCGGAGCATGCGCAGACTGGGCAGGAGGCTCACTGGTCCTTCCCTGCATGTTTGCTGGGCAGGTAGTGTGGGAGGAAATGCCAGACCTCTCACTCTGCCTCCTACCTGCCTTCCTCAGCTCCACGTCCTCTTCCCTTGACTCCTTGCTGGAGCGGCACACCCAGGTATACACTGTCACATATCTTCTGAACCAGGTGGAGCAAGATGAGCTCACTGAGGCAGAGGCCAAGGGTGAGGAGGACTGTGGCATGAGGCTGTGGGCATGTGGGGAGGGAGGGGCCTTTGGACACAGAGAGAGCACCCTGGTGCTGGGTGTTGCAGTAGCCTTGTGACACTCAGCAGTCAGTGGGCTGATGCAGTCTGGGGGGACTTTCCGGGGGAGGCTTCCTGCACAGAGCTCTCTTGACAGGCAGTGGGAGGGTTGTGCCCCAGGAAGAAACATGGACAGTTGGTGATCTTGTCTTCTCTTTCAACTGCAGGAGCAGCTCCAGTCCAAGCTGAAGTCCCACCTGCAGAGCCTGTGCCAGCTCCACCTGCAGCTGCCTCCCCAGCTCTGGCACCACAGCCAGAGCGAGCACCAGGAAGCCCTTCTCCTCCAGCTGGACAGCTGGGGCAAATGGTGGCTCCTCAGCAGGTGTCAGCTCCTGACCTCCCCTTGGGGCAAGCTCCTGCCCCACACTGGCCATTCCCCTCCATTATTGTTGCTCTTGTTTTTTCCTTGACTTTTGCACTTATTTGCTGGATTTATGTCAATGATAGATTGATTTTTAAATAAAAGGTAAGATTTTACTGTTGCTTAACATGATCGGCTTGGTGGCATGAAGTACCTTCTCAGTGCGGTGAACCTGACACCTCTGTCGAGGTCCAGGGCATTTTCCTCAGTGCTGCACCCATGAGTGGTTCCTCCTCTGACACCTGCTGCTAGTCCCTGGCCACCACTCATCTTATGTCCCCGTAATTTACCTATTCTACATTTTTCACATCAGTTCAATCAGATTTCTCCGTGTCCACATAATCCTGGAAGGGACTCATGCATGAATCCTGCTTTCCGTAGAAGGGAAAATCCTAGATATATCCTCAACATTTTTCATTCACCTATTGAATAAATTATGCAGTTTTTTGTCAGACAAGAAATATTTATTAATTAGTGCAATATGAATGAAGAATAAAAGAAAGGACATAGTCACAGTCATCCCACCAGGAGCCTTGCCCCCCTCCCCAGTGCTTCCCCTTCCTGTCTACATCTCAGGGTTCAGGCCGTGTCTTAGATGCTGGGTGGGAATGTGTCAGAACACAGCTCCCCTGTCATCTCATTTATGCACTGGGGACATGATCCCGTCATGCTCTATCCCTTGGCACTTTCTGTGGCCACAATGACACAGTTGACTCAGCAACCTCTGCTCCAGACAATTTCCGGGTTTTCATGCCCATAACTGAGCCAAAAGGAACAGCTGTGTCTGTAAATATTATTTTTCAGATGGAATCCTGCCAGTGGAATTTCTGGGTCACAGTCACAGAAATGGGGGCAGAGACAGACTCACATCTGTGGGGTCTGCACTGTCCAAAGGCAGAACACTCAGGACCAGGGGCACAGAGCTCCCAATGACCTCTGAGAAATGCAGCTCTACAAGAATCCAGGGGTCGGGGGGGACAGTCCATGGGTAACATTTGTCACATCTCAGAGGCCAGAGGGATAGGACAGCAATGCCCCACCTCTCCTACATGAAGATGGACAAAAGTTCTCTAGATCCTATTTAAATTTTATTTTAAAATATTAAATTTCAGAGCATCCTGGATATCAGGGCCTGAAGGTTTCTAAGGAGGATTAGTCCAGTCTTGCCAGTGGCTGGACACTGCAGAGTCCTCTTGACTGAAGGGCTTTAAAAATCAATAATTTGTTTTTCAGTACTGGAGATTGAGCCTAGAACCTTCTCACTGAACTACATTACCAGCCCATTTAATTTTTGCTTTTAATTTTGTCACAGAATCTCACTAAGTAGCTGAGTTATTCAGCATCCTGGGCTTGAATGTGTGATCCTCCTGCCTCAGCTTCCCAGAATACTGGCATTACAGATCTGCACCACCTTGTGAGCCTTCACTAAGCAGTTTTGAAAATACAAACTCCAAAATAGACTGCTCTGCCTAGGTATCCACCTTTAGGGCTTGATGCAGTTTGGTATTTCTGGTGGGGTAGGTGTAGACTCCACCAGATGGGTGCTTCTCCCTGAGAGGCCAGCGACTGACTGAGCTTGTGCCAGGTGAGAGACCATCTTTTGAGGGCTGCCCAGACTAGGTGGTGACCACAGGTTCTGCCCTGACCTCCCTCCCCTACTGCCCTGATGTGCAGAGACCCCACTTCTTTCTCATCTTTGAGCACGGTCAGCTGGGCAGGAAGCAGGACAAGCCCGTCCCAGTGAGACCTGTCCTGCTCTATCCCCAAGAATCCTTCCCAAGGTGTGGGACCTGCGCACGGCCCCACGCCTAAGCCTGTGCCCATGAAAGCTGTACAAACCATCTTATCAGTCACCCCACGTGGCCCACACAGTTCATGACCTGCACTGGGCTGTCCTAGGCCACCTCTCTGAGTGCACACCCTCACCCCGTCCTGGCCAGATGTTGCTAGGCTCTCACACTGTGCACTGCTACCCACTGCAGTTGCCATAAATAAAGGATCATCCAGACAGAGTTGGGACCCAAGGTGGCAATGCCTGGGGACAGGGACCGTGTGCTCCATAGAATCAACTTTGAGAGCAATCTGTGCTTTATAAATCCCACCACAATGCACCCAGGTATGGCCCAATTTCCATTTTTCATACACATTGAATGTATCAACTTCAGCATGAATTTAATCATTATGGACTGCAAACATGTACTAATAAAAATATAATAAGTTATAAAAAATTCAAAAAGAAATTAAAGTTCTGACACATGGTAAGAAATATAACAGCTAAGTGAACCAAACCCAGACTGAGACCCTCCATCTGGCAGGCAAGGCTCCTTCAGGCAGATGCAAGCCTGATGCACAGAGCTGCCCCTGTCCTGAACTCACACACAGGCTGATGGGATCTCTGTGGCCAATCCTGGTGTCATAGGAATGTGCAATGTCATAGCACTTGGCTCTGTGCACAGCCCAGTGCAGACACATGGAGAGCTTGCTGTGTACTGACTGCCCGAGATCCCCAGAAGCAGCTCACCCTTTGGGGACACAAGGAACCCACACTCCCAACACCCAGGGAGGACTGAGTAACAGAACAGAAAGTGAACACAGCACTCAGGCAAATCTCCTCAAGGAAGCCTCAGTCTCCCCCACTGGCCTTTGGACCTCTGCTCAAGCCCCTGACCCTCAGTACTAACAGTGTGACCAGAACTGCTGTCTCCTTTGGTCCCAGGATTCAGGGTCAGGGATGGCCTGGAAGTGACAGTTGGAGACGCCCCTCCCCAGTACCTGCTCTCTCCAAGAAAGGCCCTGGTCTTTCTCCACCATACACTTTACTGAGGCTCTTTGAAAACTGTGCTGGTGTGAAGAGGTCTGGGCAGGAGAGGGTTAGCAAGCCCTTCAAATATACGTATCTAAACCTGCCAAATGTCCACAGCTTCCTAGTAAATGTGTGGGAGGAACTAAGTGGAAAAAAAGTGACAGGTGGCTTACAGGAACCCTGCTCTACACCGCAGGACCCCAGCATCAGTGTGGCCTAGAAGGGAAATACGCAGGTGAGTGCCCCACTCCACAGCTTCTCAGAACACTGCCCACCCCTCTACTGATTGCAGATGCTGCCTCCTCCCACCACACCTTCACAGCCTCACATCCGAATGCGTCTTGGGCTCTAGGCTCTGTGACTCTGGCACCAGTGGGCAGGCAGGGGAGGAAACAGGGGCAGCCTGGCAACTACCTGGCCTTTAGCCCAAGGAAAGGAAAACAGCTTCAGAAGACTTCCTTATCTGAGGCCCAAGAGTTGGCGCAGAGGCACATCCCCTGGGTGAATTTACCCAAGTGTCCTCTGGGACCTCCCTGGTCCATCTGGTGTCCAGCTCCTGAGGATCCAGGGATGAGCCAGCAGCAGGCCTGACCATCATCTCCAGGCCTCATAACACAGACAGACAACATTTTACCAAGGGGAGGATCTGGGCTTGGCACTGGAACAGAGTTGTGTGCTCCTATGGGGAATTTTGTGTCCCCAGACCTAAGTGGGCTAGTGCCCCCTTGCCTTTCTGTCAATATGTGGTCCAGATCTGAGGGCCCAGCTGCACACCTTGACACACCCTCCTGGGGTCCTTGGCCAGGTGCAATTCTGCCTGTCCCACATAAGCCAATTCCACATGCTCAGTACCCACTTGGATCCTGTGAGTCAGGAGGATCCTCACTCATCCTCCCAAATATCCAGGTGAGCCTGACTTACACAGGGACCCAGAGCTTTGGTCAGCCCCTGGGATGCTCAACAGTCAGGGGTCTCCGGCTTGATCCCAAGACCCAGTTCTAACCAAGAGTTCTCTAGAGAACACCTGATGCTGAAAAGTACCTGAGGCCACAATAAGCCAAGAACAGGGGTTCCTGGTACCCTCAATGCCAGGCCCTGGACCAACAGCATGTTGGTTCTGAATTAGTCTGGATGACAACAGATCAGCTATCCCTGGAGTACTGGCTTTTTCCTGGACCAACAAGGGACTGGGGATGCACAGAGCAGCCCCCATGCCATCCCATGTACAGCACAAAGCCAGCTGTGTGTGGTGGGAAGAAGACAGGAGGAGGAGAGATGGATGGATGGTGAAGGAATGGGAAGAGAAGGAAGATGAGTAGAAAATGGCACTGCACTGGACAATGGTCCAACCCTGATCTTTCCACTCAGCAAACCTGCTGGGTGACACCAGAGACCAGGGACTCTGGACTTTGGGCAGCTGCACACACAGCATCTCCTCCTCTCATGACCCCATCCCAGGGCCTGGGAGTCTTGGGGGAACAAGGAAGGGACTCAGAACAGTAAGTCAGGCAGAGGAAGAACAAAGGAAGCACAGTACAGGAGTGTGTCCTGGGCAGGTGGTTATGTGACAGTCTGTGGTTCCCCACGTGCCCCACTGGGATGCCAGGCACACTGAATACTGACTGCCCCTGACCAGGGCCAAGGAACAGCAGGCAGGGATCCTCCTTGATCATCACAAGAGGGCCATACAGACATCCACACAGACCCTGGAGCACCGACACCTCAGAGAAGCGCTGTGCCTGCCCTTGTGCTCCACACCCCTCATGCTGCTCAGCTCCAGCAGGGCACCACACATCAAGAACTATCCGCTTATAGTCCACAGGGAGACCCCATCTGGAGGGGTTGTGCTGGGCCTGGGTTCTTCCTCCCTGCCCCTCAATGACCCTGTGCCTCAGCTTGCCGCACCTGGACACAAACTAAAAATCACACCCCACAGGCTCAGGGAATCAGGGCGGGGAACATACCCAGTTAAGTGGCTGCACTGTGTGAAAATGAGGCCAAGAGGTACTACTGTCCTTGTCCCCAGACTGGGAATGACACCCATCAGGACATGGTTAGTCCACCCTCCCTGGGGAGACCATGTCCATCTCCTGAGGAACTGTGTTCCCCTCCCAGGTCAGAACAGCAGAGACCCTGCATGCACTGGAGAAGGAAATGGGACAAATGTCCAACACCAGGGCTTTGGAAGTGAGCCCAGGGGCCAAGCATGAAATTCAGCCTCCTTCCTGAGGCTGTCCCCCACTGGGATTGGGCTTTGGGATGTGATCAGTGCCTGGGGTCAGGGCACAAGGCCTTTGGTTTTGTGGCCATTGAAGTTCTCTGTGTCTGGGAGACATTGTGCAGTGCAGTTAGCTACGGGGTGAGCACCTGTGCTTCCTGGGGTGGCAGAAGAAAATGCTGCTGACAGCTGACACCACTTCAAGTTGTCTACTGATTTCATATGAGGGGAGTCCTGAAAAGGCTGCAGGGAACTGCCTTAAACCAGCCCAGACTTCCCAGCCCTTCTTCTAGGGGACTTTGCTCATTGTAATCATACTGTAAACCAGGCATGGGTGTGCACACCCAGAATTCCAACACTCTAGGAGGCTGAGTCAGGAAGATCAAAAGATCAAGCCCAGCCTGGACAACTAAACAATTTAGTGAGAACTTTTCTCAAAAGGGGGCTGAGCAGAGGATGAAGCAAAGGCCCTGGGTTTAACCCACCATACTGAACCAAAAAAAAAGCCATGCACACATCATAATGCAGAATTCTCCACCCTCATGTGTTCTCATCCACCACATCTGACCACACGGTGTATAAAAGAGCATGATCTGCATTGTGATCTCACAGGATAGGATGTGCCAGCCTCTCCAGGAGACAGACAGTCTTCCCAATATGAACATCCTAATTCTGTCCCAGGAAACCCAGCTCCCCTGTGCTGGGGAGATAGTTTGGCAGTTCTCTCAGAATGCTCCTTACCTGCTGCTGGTCACAAACTTTCTTCACTCTTCTATCCCCTCATGGTATTTACTAGCTTTGAACTCACCAAGGGCCAAACCCAACTCTGTTCCTTCACAAACTTCCATAACAGTCAGAAAAACTAAGGGATTGGAGATGAGGTGGGCTGCTGATGGCTTAGCAGCACTGACAAGACTAATCTGGAAACCAACTTGCCATCATCCTGCTTCTTGGGCAGCCAAGGAAAATGAGATCGCAGGAGGGTACCTGGAGCCTAGTAGGGCAGCTGGCAGCCTGGACTTCTGAAGACCCAGCAGATGCCAGCCAGAGGCGACTGCTCAGTCATTTACTTTCCCGTCATGACATTGCTTGGGCACAAATCCAGGAGATCAGTGCCCTCTGGAAAAGTACCCGGCAGAGATGCACCTGCTCCCTGGCCTGTGACTTGAGCTGGCTGATCATAAAAGGCAGGTTCCCCAGGACACCTGCCACACCACTCTGCCTGTGCACAGAGAGCCCTCCAGGAAGTGAGAGGGCCTAGAGCAGCCTCCTCAGGCAGATGCTTTACCTCCTGCTAAGGCCTTGAGCAACAGCTTGACATCAGAAGCCCTCACCTCCTGCTTGACACTGGATGCAAACTCCAGGTGACAGACTGCTTAGAGAGCGGGGAGAGGTGGTGGCACTGGATTGTATGAGCTTAGCATAGAGGAAATGAGAGGCAGATCAGGGAATTCAGCTCAGACACAAGTATTCATCTTGTAATGTCCAGCCTCTTCCATTGGCCATGAACTGGGTCCAAGATATATGGACACAAATGAAAGGAATGTTCCCTCTGATTAGGACCCAGGATCCATCACGGCACTCAAGCAAGCTTAGGCTCTCCCTGCCCACCAGAGACTTGGCTGGAACCAAGCCCCATCCCCATCCTACTTTCAGCCCTCCCTCACCTCTCTCTTAGTGGAATCCCTGCATTTGCAGGGGCCCATTAAGCACTGCCAAGCTCTAGGCCTGATTAAGTAAAACAGCAGAAACCAACAGTGGCCCCAAACGCTGCTCTGGTTTCCATCGATGCCTTGGCCCATAGCACAGTTTTCATCAATGCTTTTGTACACTCAGGCATGGCCCCACCTCTGCCTATTAAACCTTCCCTACCTGCTGCTCTCAGGGTGTGCTGCTCAGTTGTCTGGGTGCTCAGAGGTGGCCTTGGCCATTATCATGGGTACACACAGTGCTAGGTCACTGATCTGAGTGGCCATGAGGAATGGGGGTTGAGACAACCACAAATTGTGCCTGGGGTGGTGTCCCTAAAACTCTGTCCAGTGACCATGGGAGGAGGGTAGTTCACTTCCTGAGACAGCAAGTTCATGAGTGGGGGAAGAAGCCAAAGCCCAGCTCTTGGGTTTGGAACCCCACTACCGTGCACCCCGTTGTTGTCCTTCACTTCCAGGAAGCACAAACCCCAATGCCTACATTGACTCTTCCTACCAATGGCCAACCCCAACGGTGTCATGAGCCAGGCTCTGGCAACAGGTTTCTCTGTGGGGCTGAGCATCCCAGAGTCTGGGTACTATGGGGGCAGGGTTATGAGAAAGGGCATAGCCCAGTGAGGGTCCCAGTGACCTCACAGGTAAGGTGCTGGTCTCAGTGAGCAAAGGCCTAAAGGGTAGCCTTAAGGCACAAGGCCAAGCCTGAGCCTCCATTTACACAATGGAAGCTCTGGTCATTAGGGACCCACACAGGTGGTCTCCATGGAGAGCTGGGTGTCAGGACCACTTAAGAGTTCACTGCTCAGCTGAATCCTCCAATCTGTGCAGGAATTCCTGAGGAAATGTGTGCTGAAAATGCACTGGCAGTGAAGGACAATCCAGTCTGAACTGCAGCGAACTTCAGCCCAAAAGGTGAGGACAACCTGCTTCATTTATTAAGAAGCTGCCTGAGCACACAAGGTGCTCAGCTGCCTGTGAGTCCCACTCAGGTGGCCTTGACTCCAGTTCCCCAGCAGAAAACAGGAATAGAGGTGGGGACACTGCAGGCCTGAGAATGGAGAACAGGGGCTGGGCATCCCAGGTGCAGGGAGCCACCTTAGGGCTCTGAAGAAGGCCCGTGTGGGAGCGGGTGAATGAGCCTGAGCTGCTCCAGGGTTCTCAGACCCCACAAGTGAGGATCAATTCCACCTGGGAGGGTGGGGTTCACTAGATCAGCTCCCAGGGGGAGCCAGCCTGGTGTCCCCATCAGGCCAGCAAGCAGGTCCAGTCCTGAACACTCTCAGGGGGCCCTGGCTCCTCCTCGGGACTAGGCAGGTGGATCTTGTCCCACGCTCAGTCAATCCCAGGAGGCCAGGGGCTTGGGAAGCACAGAGGGAAGGTGAAACCTTTCCCAGTCCTGTCCCAGCTGTCCTGGGCTTTGGGGACTTAGGTGGCTCATCAGAAACATGGGCCATGAAAGCCCTCAATGACAGCTGCTCTGTGGGGCTGGGTGTCCCTGACCTTGGGTGTTATATGTGCAGGGCTGTGAGGAGGAGTGTGACCCTTCTCATCCCAGGGAGCAGACAGAGCCCACCCTGCAGCTCCCTGTGCAGCTGTGGTTCCAGAGCCTGGTGTGTCTGCACTGTGTTCAGGTCTCTGTGAGGCCTTAGAGGAGTCCTAATGGCCGCTTTTGCTCACCTGACAGCTCAGCACTTCTGCCTTAGCTCTCACTCATTGCCTGCTTCGGCCAAGCACATAGCCATCTACAGGGTGGGGAACCCAGGATCCACTGCACACAGAGTGGACTCTCGAGGCCCTTCCTGTGGATGCCCCAGACAACTGCCACACAGATTCCCTCCCAAGACGCCATCTCAGGGGCACAGCAGCACATTTTTCCCTAACCCATTAGTTAGTCAGCTATTTAATGAGTTGAATGTGTCTGAGCCCCTAACCTCCCAACACTCTGCCTCTGAAGGGGAGGGTGAATTAGGCTTGCCAAGTTGATCCCCTCATGGAGAGGAGCTGGAAAGTGGGGCGCTTCACTTTTTGTCTTTCTCTCCCCATTATCCTTTAATGATGTTTTAGGATTACTTCCTTCACATACACAACACACTCTCCATGCTCTTTGTGCCAAACTACTTTTGGGATAGAGACCATGAATTTGAGATGAGTAGGCTGCACAGGTTTCATATCTCTACATTTTCAATGTGGCTTTAGGAGGTAGTGCCAGTTGTATCCTAGATGCATTACTTTATAAAATGCATTTCAGAAATAATTAGATATGTGTGGTAAAATGGTGAGGCCATAATACAGGTAGCAAATTTACATGAGCAACATAAGTGTGATCAGGGGTAGAATTTTATATCCAAGAAACAGGTATGAAAGGTCCAAGGACCAGAACAGAGATCCTACAGGACCACACATGTATGGAAGATTGAATTTCAAGAAAGATGCAAAGGCCATTCATTTGGTGGGAAAAGGAAAATCTTTATGAAAAATGTGTCTGGAACCATGTTGTACATGAGTATGGTTGCTAGAGAGCCATGCAAAAAGTGTGATCTTTGATCCTTATCTCTTACATGTCAGGATTAACTGATTAACTCAAAATTGATCGAAAACCACAATGTGAATTGTAGTCTATGCCATACTTTTAGGGTTTAGATGTAAAATGTCACTTACACTCTGGTGTGTTTGAAGGGTGATTGAACTGGGAGGGGGGGGTTCTATACTTACCAGTAAGTTCACCATTGTTCACCATTGATGAGTTCCCTGCCTGAATGTGTTGTTGGCAGGTGGGGCTTTGGTGGAGATGGGTCACTGGAGTTCAGACTGAAGGCCTGTATTCTTGTCCCTGGCTCCTCCCTCATGCTGTGCTTCTGGCTGCCATGAGGTCAGCAGCCTTCCTCTGCCTTCCCTTCCACCTTGCAGTGTCTGCCTTAGAGCTGACCATGGACTCACCCCACTGAATCTGTGAGGCTATATAAACCTCTCCACCAGTAACTTGTAGTGTCAAGTATTGTGGCCAGCAATGGGAAAATAAGTAATACACATCTCCGTGGGACAAAACTGTTGGTCTCAAGGATTAGAGATTTCCTATAGACAGCATCATAAACACTATCCATAACAGAACAAAAATTATGGATTATGTTTCATCAAAATTCAGGACTGCCCATTCAAAGACACTGCTACAAGAATGAAAACACAAAGCACTGATTAGGACAAAATATTTGTAAGTCATACATCTGAAAAATTTCTTTCTATACCATAAAAGAAATATGAGACACAACGAGAAATTTTTTTAAAACTGAAAGCACAAACAACAGGATTTGAAAAGATATTTCAGTATGGAATATATCAAAACTTCAAGTAACCACATAAATATTTCTTATCATAATCAGTTCTCAGCTAAGTGAAAATTCAGTCCACAAGGACAAACCACTCTCTACCTTTTGAAGAGGAAAAATTAATGTCTGATCACACAGGTCAGGGAGGAAGTGTAGTACCTTACTAGTATTGCAATCACTTCAGAAAGCATTTTGGCAGCTTATTTAAGAGTTAACAATTAACTGTCTTATGATTCTGCCTATCCAATCCTCTACCTGCTCATGCAGAGAATTTTACAAGAGTGCACACATAAGCTTTGTCTTTGATAACTGAAAACTAAAATGCAAGCACCAAAGAACAGCTGAAGGAATAAACAAACTGTAGCAACCCAGGCAATGGAATTCTACACAGCAAACATGGGAACAGATTATGGATTGATCTCAAAATAATTATGCTTGGTGAAAGAAGTCAGAGAAGCCACATTGTATATTCTCCATGTATACATTTTTATAAAAGAACATCACATGTGTATGACAGACGTCACGTCAGTCCTTGCCTGGGCCTGTGTTGGGGCAGGAAGCAGAAACATTGTAAGCCAGAGTAAGAAGACAAAGAATCATTTTATTCTTACATTTTTCTTTTTATTAGTACATATTTGTCATACATATTGATCACATTCATCTTAGAGACTTTATACCTGTATATAACACATTTGATTCTTCTTTTTTCCCATTCCTCTCTCCTCTTTTCAGTCTTCTTCCCCTCCCCATTTATACAAGCTTTATTTCCATTTTTTCCTTCCTTTTGGTTTTGTTTTTTTTTTCGCTTTTCCTTTCCTTCCCTTCCCCCTCCTCCTCGTTTCCCTTCCCATTTGAACATGTTTTTCGTACTTCCCAGTATCTGTCCTCAGTATGGTCCTCATTTACCCTTTGAATTTCTCACAGGACAGAAACAATGTGATATTTAAACTTGTGCGTCTGATTTATTTCACTTAAGATTATGGTCTCAAGGAGCAGCCATTTTGCTACAGATGATTCAAATGCATCCTTCTTATGGCAGAGTAGTAATTCTATATATATATGTATATACAAATATATATACCACTTCTTTATCTATTCGTCTGTCAATGGGCATATAGGCTATTTCCAAGCCTTAGCTATTATAAATTGTGCTGCTATAAATATGAGTGTCCCTATATCACTGTGGTATGATGCTTTTGATTCTTTCAGGAAATTCTTTAGATGGGGAACAGCTGGGTCAAATGCAACCTCTAGTTTTAGTTTTTTGAGGAATCTCCACACAGATTTCCACAGTGGTTGCACCAGATTACACTCCCCTCAGCAATGGAGAAGCGTTTCTTTTCCTCCACAGCCCCACCAGCATTTGTTACTGGTTGATTTCTGGATGATGGCCATGTTTTCTGGAGTGAGATGGAATCTCAGTGTTGTTTTAACTCAAATGACCGGGAATGTTGAGCATCTTCTCATATATTTATTTGCTGTTTGTACTTCTTCATCTGAGAAGTATCAGTTCATTTCAGATGCTCATTTGGGGTCTTTAAATTTAGGGGGTCTGATATTTTTTTTTGAGTTCTTCATATATTCTAGATGTTAGTCCTTTGTCTGAGGAACAGCTGGTAAAAAATTTTTTCCACTCTGTGGGTTGTCTCTTCACTCTGTCAATGGTTTCTTTTGTTGTGGAGCTTTTTCATTTGATGTGACTGCAGTTGTTGATTCTTTGTAATACTTTCTATGCAATCAGGGTTTTGTTCTTAATGTCTTTCCCTACACGTATGCTTCTAGAGTTTTACCTATTCTATCTTCCAGCAGATTAAGTATTTCTGTTTTAATATTTAGGTCTTTGATCCATTTCAATTTTAGTTTAGATCATGGTGACAGACATGAGCCTCGTTTCAATTTTTGGCGTGTGGAAAGCCAGTTTTCCCAGAGCCATTTTTTTTTTTCTTTTGTACTGGGGATCGAACTCGAGACCTTGTGCTTGCAAGGCGGCACCACTGAGCTAAATCTCCAGCTTCCCAGCACCATTTATTGAAGGGTCTACCTTTCTTTTATTTTTTCTTAAATTCTTTTATTGGTATATTTTAGATATACAATACATTTACATTTATCATTGGGATCTTGTACCTTTACATAATGTATCTTGGTTCTTATTTTTCTCCATTTCCCTGCCCTCCCTTCAACTCCTCTACCCCTCCCTATTTACAAAGACTTTGTTTCCATTTTTTCCTTTCTCTCATATTTTTTCCTTTCCCTCCTTTCCTTTCCTCTTCCCCTCCCACTTCCCCCACCCCTTTGGACCTTTTCTTCCTATTTCACATTATCAATTATTTATTTTAATCCTTATTTACACTTTCAGTTTCTCACACCAGAGAAACTATTTGATATTTATACATGTGTGTCCTATTTATTTCACTTAAGAGTATCACCTCAATGTGCATCCACTTAGCTATAAATGTCTCTAGTTTCTCATTCTTTATGGAAGAATTTACATTTCTTCCAGTGAAGGTTTGGCCTCTTTGTCAAAGATAGGGTGGCTGAGTGCTTAGAGTTGTTTCTACATCTGCTATTCTGTTCCAGTGATCAACAAGTCTGTTTTGTTTTTTTTCAATACCATGCTGTTTTTAATCACTGTACCTTTGTAGTATAACTTCAAATTGGGGATTGTGATGCCACCTGCCTAGCCTTTGTTGCCCAGAATCGCTTTTCTTATTCTAGGTCTCATCTGGTTCCATCTGCATTTTACAATTACTTTCTCTAGTTCTGTGAGGAATGCTATTGGTATCTTGATTGAGATTGTGTTACCTCTGTATATCACTTTCAGAAGTATGGCCATTTTGATTACACTGGTTCAGCTTAATCAGGAACAAGGGATATCTTTTAATATTCCAATATCTTCTTTTATCTCCTTTCATTGTAGAAGTCTTTCATCTCCTTTCTCAGGTTAATTCCTAAGTATTTCATTTCTCTTAGAGCTATTGTGAAAGTTATTGTTTCCCTAATTTTTTCTCAGTGCATTTATTATTACTGCACAGGAATGCTACCGATTTTTGTATGTTGACTTTGTATCCTGCTATGTACTGAATTTGGCTATTAATTCTAGGCATCTTTCAGCAGGATTTTGGGGGTCTTCTACATAGAAGATTGTGTCATTTGTAAATAAGGACAATTTAACTTCTTCTTTTCCCATACATATCACTTTCACTTCTTTCTCTTGCCTGATTTCTCTGCATAATGTTTTGAAAAATATATTGAACAGGAGTGCTGACAGCCAACATCCATGTCTTGTTCCTGATATTAGAGATAAAACTTTCAGTTTCTCTCCATTTAATATGGTGTTGGCAGTAAATTGGTCATTAATGGCTTTTATCAGATTGAGATTACATCCTTCTATACATATTTTCTTCAGTGTCTTTATCATGAATAAATATTGGATTTTATCAAAGGGTTTTTCTGCATCTATTGAAATGATCATGTGATTTTTGTTCTTGCTTCTGTTTATGTGGTATATCACATTTATTGATTTTCATATGTTCAACTATCCCTGCATCCCTGGAATGAATTTGGTCATGATGTATGACTTTTTAATGATTTGGTACACTTTGTTTGCCAGTGTCTTATTGAGGATTTTTGAACTGCACTCACTAAAGAAAATGCCTTGTAGTTTTCTTTTTTGGTTAGGTAATGCTAGCTTTGAGGAATGTCTTTGGGAGTACTGCTTCTCTTTCAATTTCATTAAAGAGTTTGAGGAGTATTGGCATTAGATCTTCTCTAAAAGTTCTTGTAGAATTTAGCAGTGAATCCATGGAGGCCTGGACTTTGCTTAGTTGGTAGTTTTTTATTTCATCTTTAATTTCATTAACTGATATTGAATTATTCAGGATTTTTATGACCTCCTGGTTCAGCTTTGGTTGTTCATATGTATTAGGAATCTGTCCATTTCTTCAGGATTCTCCATTTTATTAGAGTGAGCTTTCAAAGTAGTAACCAATGATCTTCTGGATTGCAGCAGAATCTGTTGTGATTTCTGTTCTCATTTGTAATTGCACTGATTTGGGCCTTTTCTTTCTTTCCTTCTTTCTTTCTTTCTTTCTTTCTTTTTGGTAAAATGGGCTAGAGATTTGTCTATTTTGTTTATTCTTTCAAAGAACAAACTCTTCAGTTTATTTTTATTTTTTATATTTTTAGTCGCCATTTCAATCATTTGTTTTGATTTTTTTAAATATTCTACAATTTATTTCAAAAGCATGTGCAGCATATTTCCATGGTTACAAATCCTGTCAGCCTTAGCTTTAAAGTCAGAAGCAAGAAAAAAATATACCCCAGGTAAAACTTGTCATTGTTCAGGATAGTCCAACCAATACATTTAGAAATTAGAGGTAAAATTATTCATATTGCCATTATTTTCTGAAAATGATTACTTACACACAAAAACATTTCTAAATACTTCACTAGGATATTTAAGAGCAACAATAATACCAATTTCAAAAGTGAGGAGAAATGATTTTAAAAATTTTCAACACAATAACATGATAAAACATAAGCTTTTAACCTGATTTAAACATTGTATAATGCATACATGTACTGAATCATACATGTTACCACATCAATGTATTCAACTCTTATGTTTTTATACCAGTTAAAGTTAAAATTAAAAAGACATTTAGTGTAAATTTAATGCTCAAAATGCAACCATTTTCCTGTAAAAAGGATGCAACTAATATGATCCTAATACTCATGAGCACCAAATAAAAAACTAGCTAGGAATACTTAGGAGGAAATTACAATGAGAAAATTTAGCCTTGCATATATTTTCAGAAATTCCAGTAAGCTAATATAATTAATGCCTGTAATAGTGATCCATGAATTGAAGTCAGATGAGATAGTCTTGCTTTGTCTTGTATTTATCTATGTATATATCATTTTATGTGTTTATTTATACTGGATGATAAAGGTGAGATTGACTGACCTGGAACTGCAGGAAGCATTTGGAGCTTCTGTGCAGAAAAATTTCAGAAACCACTTGGAGAGCAGCACCCATAGTCGTAAAATGTTGTTTCTGAGGAAGAGCTCCTTCAAAGTGCATAAGTATTTTTACTAATTTTAAATTTTGAAGTTAGTGACAAAAGTCTCATTGACAGACCAGAGTTAAATATTTAGTTCATACAGAAATACTAGTGACTATATGAGCTTGTCAACTCCCACGGTTGGGAATGTTCAACTGCTTACTTTAGGGAGTAGGGAGAGATACCAAGGATCTGTGAATTTTCTTAAAGCACTACCACCTGCTCCATCAAACACTCCTCACCCTGGATTCAGTGAGCAAGTCTGCAGGGAAAACTCCAAAGAGAATGGTGATCATGAATTTCTTGAGGTGCTCTGTGTCCCAGAAGTACCTTATTTCTCCAACAATTTTGAAGGAAATTTTTGCAGGATATGTAAGTTGTTGTTGAAAGTTGTTATCTTTTGGGGTTTGAAACACTTTACTCCAAGCCCTTCTGGTCTCAAAGATCTGTGTTGAGAATTTGTTGGCTGTAATTCTAATGGATTTACCTTTATATGTGATTCATTGCTTTTCTCTAACAGCTTTTATGATTTTGTTCCTGTGTTAAACTTCTGGTAGCCTACCTTTAGGGTTACATGGAAAGGTTCTCTCTCATGCGCACTCTCACTCTTGCTCTCGCTCGCTCTCTCTCTTTTTGTACCAGAGATCGAACTCAGGACCTTGCACTTGTGAGGCAGGTGGTAGAACCACTGAGCTAAATCCCCAACCTGACTTCTCTTTTGACAATGGCTATTTGGGGTTCCATGTTCCTTACTTATATGTATGTTTATTTCTTTCCCTATATTTGGAAAGTTTTCAGTTCTTATATCTGTAAACAGGTTTTTGAATACCATTTCTGTTATCTTACAATTTTTCACTTATTCCAAATAATCTTAGTCTTCTTTGTATCCTCTAGCAGAGTTTGATTCATTTTTCATGTCCTCTTAGTTTAAGGTGTCCTTGAGTAATGGGTTTTTGAAGGCATCACTATCTTCTAATTCTGGAATTTTGTCCTCACCTCATTATTTCTGCTGCACATACTTCCAACACATTTTGAATCTTCTGAATTTCTGATTGAAACCTTTTCATGGACTCTAATTCTTTGCAAAATAGGTCATTCATGTTTTGCATCATTTTGTTTAGCTCAGCTAGCTTTTTAGTAATTCTTCTGAAAGCTCCCTGTTCATTTTGTTTATTAATGCCATTACCTGTTCACTTATATCTGCTGTGATCCTGCCAAGCACCTTTTTGATCTGTTTTTTAACCCCTTCTGTTATGCTTTCTAGTATAACAGAAAGGGTGTATAATCTAGTATAATCTAGGTGTAAAGCTTTTGCTATTCTCCCCCTTAACACCACCTGGGTCAGCTTTGAAGGAGACATGAGTCTTGAAAAGCATTTTATTGCTTTCTCTTCTCATGTTTCTATTGGATTTGTTTGTTTGTTTGGTTGGTTGGTTGGTTGGTTGGTTGGTTGGTTTTGTTTTGTGTGGGTCTTTGTGGGCACTTATAGTGGAAAGACTTTGTTCCTAGTATAGAAATATCTTTAGTCTGTTTTTCAATGTTGTACTTCTGGCACAGCTAACTATACTCCTTTGCCTCTGCCCCAAGATTCAACCACCTCTGTTAATTTGGGAGGGGAAGATGCAGTTCAATTGGCCCAGCACGTAGTTCTCTGGAAATGGACTCTGGTGTTGTTAATGTTACAAAGGTAATCTGCGTGTTGCCAAGTTGAAAAAAACTATTAATACCAAAAATTTTGTGACTACAGTAGTATCATCCCAGACAAAATGGATGCTAATATGCCATAAGAACCAATAATGTACCACCCTTAACCACAGAAAGAAATCTACAATTATAATATGAACACTGACAACATAAATAATGATGTGCACCTAACATGTATTAAATGTGACAGCTATATCTCCACTAACAGTAGAAAAGAATTCAACAGTAATTATATAGACTTAAGTAATTATTTAAAGATTAATAAAGCTTAGTGGTTGTACTATTGAAGATATGGGGGTTTGGAAACAGGAAAATGCAAGAAAAAAATCTGAAAACTTAAAACTATAGGAGATGAAAAGGAGGAAAGAGAATGAGACAAAGAATCCTATTAGGGAATAGAAGGATATTTATAGAATTAGCTAAAAGTATCAGAAAAAAACAAATGACAAGTACAAAATAAAAGGTGGGAAAGGAAATAATATAGAGAATTAAAAATTTAAAATTAAGGAAAAAATTAAAAGAAAAGAAAGGAAAAAGAAGCAAAAAATAAAAAACAGTAAGAAAAAGAAAGAATAAAGAAGGAAAATTTCTCAAATACCAATAAACCAGTGAGGGAGGGAATAAGGGCAAAAAAAAAGTTCAATATTTCCCTGTGGGGTTTTTTCGGGGGGAGGGGGGTGTTGAGACAGGGTCTCACTATGTAGCCCAGGCTGGCCTTATACTCATGGCTATCCTCCTGCCTCAGCCTCCCCAGTGTCCCTGTGTTTTTGAATGAATGGTTTCCTTCTGGGATCTGCAACTGGAGAGTCTAGCAATTCTCAGTTTTCTCCACCTAACCTTAAGGCATAACGATTTTTGAAACAGCCCCAAACACACACTTCAGAGGGTCCTCCGCTTACACAGGCTGTGGCAATGTCCAAGCTGATATGTGTCCCCACTCATACTGGCAGATAGGGAAGGCAATCAGACCCCAGATCTGTGCTGGATGCAGGCAGTAGGGCAAGGGATCAAATACTCATTGCCAAGATTTACAAACCCAAAGCAACTAAAGCCAGGCTTGGCCTCTGGCTGCAGGAGGGGGGTGGTCCCAGTCTGAGCTCAACCCCCTTAGGGGGTTTCTTTCCAGTCCACTCCTTGTTCACAGCTGTCTATCATCAGGTCACTGTTACAGGTTAACACAGAGAACCCTGAAGTGAATCCACCCTGCAGCTATTCTGAATCCCAGGTTCAAACACCCAACCCTTTCCTGGAACAGTGCCCAACCGTGTACTTTCTCCAGGGATATGCTGGCCACCTGCACTGGGATCGCTTTCCAACTGCTGCTTGTGGAAAGACTCTCATGGGAATAAAACCTCACACTGTCCCTGCATATCATAATAACCACTAGCCCAGTTCACCAACATTTCTCCCTGGAACCCCTAGGACTTGCCTTGCTTTGACAGATTCAGGCCAGGGCGAAAGTCCAGACTGTTTCTATCTGTGGTCTTTGTTATTAAACCAAGCCTACTGTAAATCCTACAGACTCTAAGTCACTGATGGCAAACCAATGGCATGCATGCCTCAGCGAGCTGTTTGTATCATCAAAAGGTTCGCCATCATTGCTCTGAGAGATAATATTTGTGCCATTCTTATTGTGAATGTCTATGAGTGCAGACTAAACATTTTGGTAGTTTAAATATATAAGGCTAACTGCCAAACATAATAAAATCATCCATGAACAAACTCAGTAGCATCTTGATTGAATTGAAGGGAAAATATCTGAGATCCTGAATATGCATCTTTAATTTACTCTCTTTGTCCTAGAAGGAAATGTTTCACCAGTCAACTGATTAATCTACCAGAACATGTCCAAGAATTAGGATACATTGCAGAGATCTAGGTAAGGATGTGTGAAGAATAAAATAAATGTTTGTTGAATGTTGAAAGAGTTCATCATTTCTGTACATTAACTCCTATATGGACCACAAGTCAGCTGACTGGCCACATTCACACAGAGTAACTAATTCAGGGAGTGGGATCCATGTGACCTAGGTAGGGTCTGGAATCTCAGTCATATCTACTAGACTAGAAGGCGTTTATATGCAGTTGGTGACAGGTACAAAATCCTAACTTTCCCCTAATGGCAAGGTCTTATTTTACATTGGCTCAGATGATAGAAAAGGGGTTGTCTGAAGCTACCTAGAAGCCAGCTGTGAGATTTTTATTATATTGCACTTTCAAAGCACTCTGTCTCAACTCTACCACACCAGTAACATATTATTCAGAACATATCAAATAATTAAGAAAACTAAAATATTCCAAAATTAGATTTCTTAAAAGACAGAGTCTCCAGAAACTAACTTTGGAATACAACATAAACATAAAATTTAAAAAATAAAATAAAATTAGAATCTGTATTGAAAAGATATAAAGATGCCTTTCAGTTCAGTGAAAAAATAAGCAGTTTAGTATTTTTGTAGATAAAAGAATGGTTGATTGAGCAGATTTTCATTTTTCAGCAGGTCTTCTGGCATCATCTGGGCATAGGCTTATTACTACTGACTGATAATAATCTGTTTCCATACTGAGTAAAACAATATGGCTTCGCTGATTGAGCAAAGGATTGAAAAATCAAGAACTCTCTGCCTTAATCTCACTCTGCCAGTGATTTGTTCTTTGACCTTAGGCAAGGAATTTCATTTCAGTTTCCTTATCTAAGAAATGAGAATAATGATCATGTCTATATACTCCCACAGGAATAGTTTTGAGTGTCACTATTGACAAAGAATGATAGATATTTCTAATGTGAAATGTGCAAATGCTATATTACAACATCAGTATTATCAAATAGCCATGTCAACAAAAATGAGGCACTTTCAAAGTAACACTGTCCACTCTGCACAATAATGGCTACATAACACAGGGTCTACAAAATACCCAGTGAAGAAATTCCTATTAATTCTAAACTAGAGAACTACTGTATTTGCAAACTCTTGTTTATTTAGTTTATCTTTGGAAGGTTTATTTTGTACTTTTCATAGCTATTACAAAGACAACCCAATCAACAAACAAATATCAGAGTTAATCTACACCTTTGGACAAATAGACTTAACAGATATCTACAGTGTTACACTCAACAACAGCAGGATCCACATTATTCTGAGAAGAACACAGAAGTTTCTCCAAAATAGACTACACACTAGCCTATAAAACATGCTTAAATAAGTGGAAGAGAATTGACATTATCCCATGCATATTAGCAGATCATATACAATGAAACTAGAATTCAATGGCAAAGAAGCCACAGAAATTATGAGAACATATGGAGATTAAGTAATACACTCTCAAGCAATCAATAAGGCACAGAAGAAATTAGTTCCTAGAATCAAACAATAATGGCAGTACATCATACTAGCACCTAAAGGACATAATTAAACCAGTCCTAAAAGGGATATTTATAGCTGCAAATGAGTACAACAGCAAAAAAGAGCAAGCCCAAATAAATAACCTAATGATTAACCTCAAGACCCTAGAAAAACAAACAAAAAATCCAAACCCAAAGCTAATACAAAGAAAAAAATTATAAAGATCAGAGGAAAAATTAATGAAATTGACAGTAAAAGAACAATACGAAGAATCAATGAATTAAACAACTAGTTCTTTGGGAGAATAAATAAAATAAACAAACCTTTACCTAACCTTACCTCCAAAAGAACGGTACAAAAGGACTGAAATCAATACAGTTAGTTGAAAACTTCAAAATCACAATGGTCACAAACCATTTCACCAAAGGCTCCTAGAACTAATAAACAAATTCAGCATGGTAGCAGGATACAAAATCAAAACACAAAAATCAGTAGTGTGCTGATAACACCAATAATGAACCCACCAAAAAAGAAATTAGACAATAACATTCATAATCGCTACAAGAAAAGTTCAATAATTAGTAATTAACCTAACAAAGTAGATGAAAACTTTATAGTATAAACTACAGTACTCTGAAAAAGGAGATAAAAGATGACATCAAAAATTAGAAAAAATATCCCATTCTTGGATAGGCAGAACCAATATTGTCAAAATGGTCATACTACTAAAACTGATATATAGATTTTATGCATTGATAATCAAAATACTAGCAGTATCCCTCACAGAACCAGAAAAAACAATCCTAAAATTTATATAAAACAGAAGAGACCCAGATTGGCAAAAGCAATTGTAGGCAAGAAGAGCAAAGCAAGAGGCATCATGATTCCAGATTTCAAATCATATTACAAAGCTACAGAGATAAAAATACTATGGAGCTTGGACAAAAATGGACATGTGGATCAATGAAACAGAATAGATGATGCAGAAAAAACACCAGGCACATTCAGCCGTCTGATCTTTGACAAAGAAATCAAACACAAACACTGAAGAAAACATATCCCCTTTAACAAATGGTGCTGGGAAAACTGGCTATACAGTATACATACAAAAAATTGAATCTAGACCCATAACTCTCACCATACACTAAACTAAAATTAAAATTCACCAATATTTAGATATTTAAATGGAAGCATCTAATCTATTGGAAGACAAAATAGATAAACTCTTGAAGCTGCAGGCATAGGCAAGAAATTTCTGAACAGAATTCCACAAGAAATAACATCAAGAATCAACAAATGAGATTCTATCAAATTAAAATACTTCTACACAGGAAAGGAAATAACCAACAAAGTAAAGAGAATCTACAAAATGGGAAAAAACTTTTGCTAGCTACCACTGGGACAGAGAACTCATATTAAGAATATATAAAGAACTCAAAAAGATAGATACCCAAAAAAATAAAAGACCCAATCAAAGAGTCTACACCTGCAATGAATAGACACTTCTCAGAAGAAGAAGTACAAATGGTTGATAAGTAGATGAAAAATGTTCAACATCTCTGGCCATTAGAGAAATGCAAATTAAAACAACACTGTGAATCCATCTTACTCCAGAAAGAATGACTGTCATCAAGAAATC